AATCCCCTTATGTCCTAATGGGGGAGATGATGCATGCAGGGGAGTAGTGGCCATATAATGGTGAAGCTTCAGGAAAGGTGAATGGGACCCTTCCAGAAATAATGGTTGTATTGTTTTGATCACTGTTCCCAGAGCAAGAGGTATGAAGAGGGGAGAGAAGAGGAAAAATGGTGGGAGGGAGATGTCATGGTGGCTGACGTGGCTGGCACCAGCTAGATGTAGTAAGCTCTCATCAGTCCGCACAGTTCCAAGGAAGGAACTGGCAGTGCAATGGGGAGTGTGAATGGCAGGCGGCAGCAGTGGCATGGCAGCGTGGACGTGAGTGCGAGCCCGATCTGTGACACTTCCTAACTATGGATTTGTGAACAAGTTATTTTGTTTCCCTGAGTCTTAGTTTTCTCTTCAGTGAAGAAGAAGATTTGCAATGACCACCAATTACTAGCTTCTGACACTTCCTAGCTAAGTGACTATATGGGATTTGGAGTCAAAAGACCTGATTCCCAATTCTTTCTTTGCTACTACTAGCTGTGTGAACTTGGACAATCAATCAATCAAAAAAATTTTTATTAAGTGTCTGCTGTGTGTCAGATAGGGGCAGCTAGATGGCAGAGTGGATAAAGCATTGGGCCTGAGATCTGAAAGACTCATCTTCTTGAGTTCAAATCTGGCCTCAGACACTTGCTAACTTTGTGATCCTGGGCAAGTCACTTCACCCCATTTGCTTCAGTTTCCTCATCTGTAGAATGAGCTGGAGAAGGAATAGCAAACCACTCCAGCATTTTTACCAAGGAAATGTCAAATGGGGTCATGAAGAATACTGACATGACTGAACAATAAGAATGTGTCAAACACAGTTCTGGGTGCTTAAGATACAAAATGAAAACAGTCCCTGCCCTCAAGAAGCTTACGTTCTATCTGGAGAGATAACCTGTGCATCTAAAATATATTCAGAGTAAATACAAAAGAAATGCAGGGGCACTAGCAGTCAGAGGGATCGGGAAAGGCTTGGTGTGTAAGCTGAGACTTGAAGGCAGTGAAGGATTTACAGAAACCAAAGACAGAGTATGATGGGTAAGGAACAGCCAGAAGGTGGAGTGAGGGAAGGGAAGTGATACATAAAGAAGCAAAACAAAACCAAAAACAATAACGTAGAACGGGGCCAGGTTGTGAAGAACTTTAAAAGCTAAACAGAGGAGCTTGTGTCCTAGAGACAATAAAGATTCAGTCGAACTTACCGGCTAAGGAAGTGACTTGGTCAAACCTGCACTTAAAGGAAAATCTGTTTGAAGAACAGGTTGGAGTGGGGAAAGACGTGAGGCCCAGAAAGCCTCGCTCCTTACCCTCAGCAAAATGACAATGAAGGCCAAAGATCGGGATAGACAAACTTGAAGCTAGGCACATTAATGCATTGCTAGTGGAGCTGCGATTTGCCCCGGACAAAATTAGAGTGATGTGAAAAGAGAGACTAAAACGTCTACATCCTTCGACACAGAAATCCCACTGCTGGATAAGTACCCCAAAGAGATGAATGACAAAAAGAAAAGCACCATGTACACCAAAAAGTTTATGGCAGCACTTTTTATAGAAGCAAAGAGCTGGGGGGGGGGGGGGGGGGGAGTTGACCATCGCCTGAGAGAATGGATAAACCAATTATGGTATATAGATATAATGGAATATGCTAAGTAAGATGAATACAACAGAGACACATGGGAAGAATTATATGAACTGATATAGAACGAAGCAAGTAGAACCAGGAAAACAATACGTGCAATGACTACAACAACATACATGGAAAGAATAACAATGATAAAATAATTGAAACTGGATGCAATGCAATTATAATGACCAAGCTTGTCCCCAAAGAAGAAATATGATAAGACCCTATCCCTGCTATTTTTTTTTCCAGACTTGGAGTTTATATATGTGGAACATTGCATAAAACATCAGAATTTTGATATCTTGCTTAGTTTTGATGCATGCTGCCCTCACCCCCACCTTATAATTTCTTTATTATAAGTAATGACTCTCTGGGTGGGATTCAATGGGAATTATAGGTTATATAGAAACATTCTATCAGTAGAATGTATATTAAATAGTAATAATAATAATAATCATAATGCTGAGGTTGTGAACCTGGGAGATTGGAAAGATGTGGGTGACTTCAACAGAAACAGGGAGGTTTCGAAGGAGGATGGGTTTGAGAAAAGATGATTTTATTTAACCAAGCGAATAAGTCGCTGAACCACTCTGGGTATCATTTTCCTTATGTGTAGAATGAGAAGACTGGACTTGCTGATTTCTGAGGTCTCTTCCATCTCTAAATCTATGATCCTCTCTTATGATCCTAAGTCACTTAAATTCTCTGAGGTTCAATTTCCTCATCTGCAAAATGGAGATCGTGTTACCAGTTGTACCTACCCGGCAGGGTTGCTATGAGGACTAAATAAGACATAAGTATCCACTAACCTCCCAGAACTACTGTAAAGAAAGTGCTGTGTTACCCTTAGAGTACTATTAAAATGTGAATAATTTTTCTCATCCCATCAGTTAACAAATGTTTAGGGGTTGACTACTAAGAAGTCATATCTTAGTGAATCCCATTTAGGACTTTGCAAAGGTGGTCTAGAGGTTTGTGTTGTTGCATTAAACAATAAATAACTGCCAATTACGTTACAAATATATTTTCCCTCTGTGACAACAAGTATGTGCATATTTGAAACATTACAGGTTTGTTTCTTCAGCATTTCAAAACCTACATGAATGCAATAATTTCAGTGTTCTTGCAGCAATGACAGCAAACTCTGGCCACTCCTAATTAAGTGAAATGTGTTATCAAATTGTTTCCAAATTGCAATATATATAATTTTACTTTAGGTACATTTTTTATTTAACAAAGTAGGGAAGAAAAAGGTGGGAAAGGGAGGAAAAGTGAACAAAGAATATAGTAAAAAACAAAGATTCCCAGTGGATGATCAGATACATGTTCATGCCCTTATTTGTGTTTTGTATATCACATTAGAGTAGCTCCCTCATTCTCCTTTGTTACCCTATAATTATACTTCATCAGCTGTATAATCATGTGATCAAAACCATTATGACCATTTTCATTCTTGTAATGCAAATGTCAGGATACATGAAAACAAAGCTCACTGAATATTATATTATTATTGTTCGGTTGTTTCAGTTGTATCTGACTCTTCATGACCCCATTTGGGATTTCCTTGGCAAAGATACTGGAGTGGTTTGCCATTTCCTTCTCCAGATCATTTTGTAGATGAGGAAACTGAAGCAAATAGGGTTAAATGACTTGCCCAGAATCACACAGCTAGTACATGACTGAGGCCAGATTTGAATTCGGGAAGATGAGTCTTCCTAACTTCAAGCCCGGCACCACCTAGCTGCCCTATATGCATTATGAGTTATCTTAAAATCATCACGGACCATCACAAATGTTCTACAGAAACAAACCTTATATTGCCTCTCAGTGAAGTATGAGGGCTGTTTTCCACTTAGACTTATTCTCCACTTATGTTACTATTCTCCTTTCTGGCAGATCTTCAGATAATCTGGTTGTCAACACTGGCCAGTCATTGAGTAGAGTTTCAGTAGAAACATTCTGTGAGAGTGTCGCTGGTGTGGCCATGGCAGAAAAGAAGAAAGTAACTTTTGGAAAGATTATTTTATTACGAAGATTAGTTTATTTATAAAAATTGCTAAAAACTAAAGCAATATATGCAATTCAACTTTAGGCATATTTTTTATTTAACACAGTGATTGACATTAGCCAATAGGGATGGGAAAAGGCGGGGAAAGCAAGGAAAAGGGAACAAGCATTTGTATGGCATCTTCTATGTGCTAGGCACTGAGCTGAATGCTTTTACAGATGTGATCTCCTTTGATCTTCACAACAACTCAGTGAGGTAGGTACTATTATTATCCCCATTTTACAGTTGAGGAAACTGAGACAAACAAGGATTAAGCGAGCAAGTGCCCAGGGTCACATAACCGGGAAGTATCTGAGGCTGGATTTGAACTTAGGTTTTCCTGACTCCAGGCCCAGTGCTTTATCTACTGTGACCCCAGCTTCCTAGTAAAACTTTTAGTTAAATACCAAAATTTTAATTAAACAATAAATGGTAAATATTTTATAGCATAATAAACTGTTCATTTTCATCAATTAATTAGGTAACCATATCTTCCAGAGTTCAAATACATTGGCAATGTCAATGTTTATCTTCAGGCAAGTGCACTAATGTCTGTTTTTAAGAACAAAGTTGCTTGGAGAAAAACACATTTGCAATAATTGTATTGATACAATATTGTTATATTTTTAATGAGTATTGAATAAAAAATGATTTTTTAAAAATTATAGCAGCTCCAATGGATCTTTGGATAAGGACTGGAAGTGTAAAAAAAATGTTGAAATGTGATAATGAGGAATCTCAAAATATTCATTCAGATTCAGCATACTGCAATCAAGAAATTAGTAAAAAGTCATTCAATAGGTCACACTACTGAAATAAACAAAGATGTTCAAGATAACTCGAATTCTAATGAGTATGAAAAAAGGAGGTACAATGAAGAATACATTAAAATTTTTTTTAAAGTAACATTTTTTTCCAGGGTTATACCCTGGGATGGGCTATTTCAGTTGGTGTTTTCAAGGGGTTCTTTTGAAGGGACCTCCTCCTGCTGGGATCCAGATGGTCTTTACTCCTGGCTGAAGACTTGACATTCCATTGCCGAGGCTGCGGGGCTTTGGGGGGAAAATACGCTCTGTCATCCTGGAACTAAAATGAAATAAATTTTTAAAAAATCTAACAAAAAAGTGACATTTATGCTTTGCAATTAGATGGGATAACTGTATTTACAATGTGGCTATTTTAATTATACCTGTAAAAAATCTATACAATGATAGAGTAGAAGAAAATATGCTATTTTGTCATCAGTTAATACCACTGGGGAAGACATTCTTAATCTAATTAATTCATGCTTTGTAGGAAAACAAATCTTTTGGTCCTCTTATTGTGGAATTTGCACAGATGGAGCAAAATGGATGACTAGGAAATATTGGGAGCCTGTTCCATCAATAAAAAATGAATATGAATACAGCATGGACACACTGGAGCACGCACTAACAAGGTTAGACATCAAAAGCAGGCCACAACAACCTAAAAGCACATTATATGATACTGTAAAAAGAGCTAATTTTTTTCCAAAATCAAGGCCCACTAACTCTCGAATGCTTGCTATCTTATGCAGAAAGATGAACAAGAAGCAGTTTTCATTTAGTGGCTTTCTTATGGCAGTTATTACTTGTCCATTTGATTAAGAGAAGAGTTCATCGGCTTCTTCACTGACCTTTTCACCAGAGCAAACGTACAAATGATACGATGTGGCTAGTAAGATTAACATGTTTAGTGGACATCTTTTCAAAAATTAACAAACTCAACACATCATTACTGGGTGCAACTAAAAACATACTGACTGCTGAAGACAAGTATAAAGTATGATTAAGAAATTAAAATTGGGAACTGCAAAATTGAGAATAGGTCTGTCACATTCCATAATTTTTACTGACATTCCGTAATTTCTTATTAGAAAATGACCTATCTTTGGGTCTGGCTGTCAAAAAAGACATAGATAATCATCTGAAAATTTTAGAACTGACTTTCAATGAATTTGAAAGTTCCAATAAACTAAATTAGACTCATAAACTACTTGATATGCCTTTTATATTCTGGCTGATGAATTGACAAAAGATGAAAAAGAAAACTTAATTGACATAGCAATGGATTTTGGACATTCAAAAATGGCAGCCTTAAATATTCTTACTTAAATAAAAAATGAATGTCCATCAAGACAGCTTGTAAAATTCTCCACATTTTTTACCGTTTTCCACATATTTTGATGTTCTGACTTGTGAGTGAATTGAATGTAAGACTGCACAAAGTTGTCAGCCTCATGACTTTGTGTAACTCTGCCTCACTTAAATCCCATTCAAGACATCACCCTTTTGATGTCATTGGTCCTTTTCAAGAATGAAGAATGGGGGCAGCTAGGTGGTGCAGTGGATAGAGCACCGGCCCTGAAGTCAGGAGGACCTGAGTTCAAATCTGGCCCCAGACCAAACACTTGACACTTACAAGCTGTGTACCCTGGGCAAGTCACTTAACCCCAATTGCCTAAAAAAAAAAAAAGAATGAATGAATGAACAATTTACATGAGAAAGCATTTTCACTTTACTCTTGTTTGAAATCAAACTACAGAAATAAAATCTATGTGGAAACAGATTTAAAACTGGATTTGTCTGGAGTTGAGCCAAATAGTGCAAACCTCCTTTGTTTGAATAAAAAAGTCCAACATCAAGAGTAAGTTTATATGTCATTGCTATATTATGTTAAATATCTTCCAAGTTGTAACTTATTTAATTAAAAATGCTGGTTATGTTCAACAAATTTTTCACAATGATGAAATTCAACACAAAATCTTGCAAAGAATAGGAAGCATTTGAGATCTTGCTGGGTTGCCTCTTTTAAAAATCTTACAGAATGCCCCCCATAAGATATTCACAGTTATTGTATAATTAGAGATTTATAACTTTATATTTAAAGTTTTCATAAATATTGAAGAACAAAAGCTCACATTTTATAATTATAGTTGTATAATATAAATTTTAATTTGGAGCTTTAAGGGGCAGAAGTTATCATTGCAATTATTGTAAGCACTTAATGAATAAACCTAAAAGAATATTATGAGTAGTATACTAAATTACCCTGAAGGTTCACAACACATTTTTTGTTGTTTTTGAAAGGGGTTTGAAGAACAAAAAATATTAGGTACCATACTGTAGATGATTATCTCCATTTGACCAGGAAGCACGCCCAGAGAAAGGGAGTGAATGTCTGAGATCACAGAAATAGTTAGTGGCAAAACCAGGAAAAGAACCCACAGAGGTTTCCTGACTTCAAGTTCAATGCTTTTTCACCCTATGGTATGACCCCTACCCCTGCCCCCAATTATGTGGAGAAAGAAAAGTCAGTTTGTTGAACACCTTTGTGAGAAGCAAGGATATTAAAAATGACCCGGCAACAGCTAGGTGGCGCAGTGGCTAGAGCACTGGCCCTGAAGTCAGCAGGACCTGAGTTCAAATCCAACCTCAGACCAAACACTTGATGCCTACTAGCTGTGTGACCCCGGACAAGTCACTTAACCCTAATTGCCTAAAAGGAAAAAAAAAAAAGAGGAAAAAATTAAAATGATCCTCATGTTATATCAGTCCCTCTGAGGTGACATTCCACCAACTTGAATTCATACTTACAAGTTGGATCCCCAAAGAGGAGCTACCACTCCTGATTGTAGGATACCCTGTGGATCCTAAAACTATGGCAGAATTCTTTGTCTGGGGACTCTGCAGCACGGGATTATCTCCTCAGACTTCAAGTTTTTGCTCAGCTCCCAGCCAGGGAGGATAGATAAACTTTTCTGCCCCTTTCTCAACCTCTCAGCAGCCCCTGGGACTCCATCAAGGTGACAGGGCTTGAGCCATTAAGGTTTTTGCAAAAGGTACCTCCTTCCTCTTTGCCAAAGGATTAGGCAATGTGTTATGGAGAAAGAAAGCCACAGATTAAAACATCTTACCTGCCTCCCTTTGCCCTGCAGGGGCCTTAAAAGAACATCTTGGAGGGAAGGATAGGCCTGGACTCCCAGCCAAGGTGAGAAAAGATGGGGAGTCTAGGGAGAAGCTTTCTGGTGCTATGTGTGGCCATTACCATTGCAACACTTTCTGCTCAGCAAAGGGAGAGACTGAGTGACCAAGAAGCTATATCCCTGTTACTGGCTACCTACAACAGAGAGTCCAATGATGATTTCATCTATGGGCTCCTTCAAGCCAAATCTGTCTCTGACCAGGTGAGTCCCCTCCCCACTTGTCTCCATCTCCCTAAGCACAGAACTTTGGGTTATGGACTCCAAGTCAAAGGTGCATGCTTCCATGCAAACCTAAGGGAAGGTTTAAGGTCCATCCCAAGGGTTTAAGGTCTTTCTTAAGCCATGACAGAGCATCCTCTGGGTGTCTTTGAGGGAAGTTCAGTTGGAAGTAGTTCTGGTCATTGGAACAGCTGGTTTCCCACCAGGCCTGAGAACTTTAAGCAGAATAAGGTGGTTCTAGACTCTCCTAAAAAACTGTCCAGGGAGAAGCAAATCTTAAGCTGAGGTTGGGGTGTTTTAAGTTTTATTGATATTTTTGCTTTTATATTAATTTCCAAAAATATTTCCCTCATCCCGCTCCATCCAGTGAGCCTTGCCCGGTGATAAGGAAAAACCGTTAAGCAAAACCAATTGCTGGCAATCCTGTTTGCTAGTGTATGCAAAATTCTGTGCCCCTACCTCTGCAATGAAAGGAGAGAAACGCATTTCCTCCTCATTCCTTCTCCAAGGCCAAGATTGGCCATCACTATTATATAGTATTATGCTTCATTTCATGGTCATTTTCATTTAAAATTATTATAATTGTGTGTATTGTTCTCCTGATTCTTCTCATTTTATTCATCAAACAAATATCCTCATGTTTCTCTGAATTTCTTTGAGTTCTGTTTTGCAGGAGAATAGAAACATGATTTCACATAAGGTGACAGGACTGGGAATGGGGTGGGAAATCTATTTTTCAAAGGGAATGGTGGGTGGCTAGGTGCAATCTGTCCAAAAGAGAAAACAGGGCTTACTGTGCAAGGTAAAGAGCTCATTCTAGTCTGGGAAAACAAGACAGTCTTATAAATGCTGGGGGAGGGGAGGGTGTTCTTGGACTACCACTGCCCATAGGGGCAGTTCCTACCCAGAAGCAGAGTAAATGGCTGTCCACGTGTGATAGAAGAGCTCCCTGCCCCCAAATATTCCCCAGTGCCTCCCTGTGATATCTGCGATTTCCATCTGAAGCACTCTTCTTAGTGGAGGTGGGGTTTCCAGAAGGCTTCTGCTAAAACACACCTATGTCACAAAGCAGCTCAACTGTACCTGTTGCCCCATTTGGAGAGGAGGCATTGAGGGGTTTTCATCTTTTCTAGCAGGGGACTGTTAAAGGATGAATGGTTTTGAGGGAGGAGGGGAGAAGCCTGAACAGTAGGTGCAAGGTCACAAAAGAATTAAAACTGGGCTTCAAACCCAGGCCTTCATTCACCACACTACCTCCCAATAGGAGAACACTGGGGTCTGGAAGCTAGGGGAGGGCAAAAAGAGGGCAAAGGTCTGCATCCTAGGGGAGTTTTCAAAACCAGACTTTGTCTATGTCACATGGCCCAGGATCATCCTCACTCCTCTCACCCCTGCCCTTCCTTCAACTCTCTCCCTCCCAGGCTGAGAAACGGATCCTGAGTTTTACCATCCAGGAAACTAAGTGCCTTAAGTCAGAGAATCTGAACCCTGACCAGTGTGAATTCAAAGAAGGTGGGGTAAGTACTCCTTACTGAGCCTAGGATACCCCCAGTCTCCCCCCCCCCAAAAAAAAATTAGTGTCAACACCCAAGGATTCAGGAGCAAGTTTTAACCCAGCCTTGCAAATGGGCTGCTAACCTCAAGCCCAGTTGTCCATCTAGGCTTGAGCAGATATCAAGGTAATTTACTAATCCTTCTACTTTGGGAAGGAAAGGGAATGGTTTCAGGCAGTCAGGCTGGTAACAATTGCGCTGAACAAAGATGGAATCTGATACATACTGCTTTTTCACATCTTGTTTTCTAAAATGAGTTGACTTTTTTTTCATCCAAAGACAAGGTTTATTAGAACATCTGTCACATTGGAAAGACTCTTAAGGAGACTGAACATTAGTAAGCTATTGGCTAGATTTTAAGAATCTAAGCAAATGAGTTGATTTTGAAGGGAACATAGCAAAGGAAAGCTCTATCTCACTTTCCATCTCAGGGTTCTAGCTCCTATAGCTTCAGAAAGAACTCATTAAAATGTAATCTGACTGATGAGAATGCCAGGACCCAGAGCCGGAGGGAAGTCTAGTATCTAGACCCTGGTTATCCTGTATTATATGGTAAAAAAACCCAGCACTCTATGACAACAGTAGCAATAATTCACAATCATTTAGCAATTTTTTCTTTTACAAGCCTGTGAGGAAGGTGGTGCAAAATTTCCATTAAAATTTTTTTCCCTTTTTATAGATGAGGAAACTAAGGATCACAGAGGAGAAATAACTTACTCAAAGTCACATAACTAATAAATATCATGGATAGAGTGTGAACGCTGCAGGGTTTTCTGACTCCAAGACCAAGTCTCCCTTCACTGTCCTGCCGTACCCAGTTATAACACAAATGTGACATTTGTTTTGCTCAGTTCATTGTAGAGGGAGAAAGCAGTCACACGAGTTAAAATCTAGTCAAGAGGATTCGAATAACACAGAATAGAATAACTCAAATAACTCAGAATATAATAGCTAAATCACTTACCAGGGGGTACTCTGCTTCAATCAATAAACACAAAGTGCCTACTATGTGCCAGGTACTGTGCTAAGTGTTCTTTTCTAAGAGGCGAGGAAAAAAAACCAGTCCCTGCCCTGTATATAATTTAATGGGGGAGATAATATGCAAACAAATACATAGAAAGAAGGAAAGCACTGGATTTAAGAGGACATAGGGAAGGCTTCCTGTAGAAGGTGAGGTTTTAATTGGGACTTAAGGAAGCTGATCCCTTCTTGCCTGGACCACACTGGACTCTGAACCTTTCATTAGACCACTATATTCCTTCTGGCCATTGGAGGGCAATCAAAGCCTGAAAGCTATACTAAGAAGGGTTTGCTTTGGTTTGGGTTTTTATTATTTTTCATTATCTTCTGGGAGGTGTGTCCCCAGTGCCCATGATACCACTGTGTGAATTTACATCCACCAGACCTAAAACATGGAGAGGATGGGGAGTGAAAGGGAACAAATAGGGGGAATTTATAAATCTCCTCATTTATAATAAGGATAATACTAAGGAATGAGGAGACTACTGGAACTGCCACTATTATTCCCTGGAAATTTCCCTGGGCCCTGGGACACCTTTCCATTTCCAACTAGGTTCTCAGAACCTGGTCAGTATGCCAGTTAACTCTGATTCCATTTCAGGAGGCTCTGGGGCTCTTGCATTAGAGAAAGCAGCATGTGGCAATGGAAAGAACCCAGAATTGGGAGCCTGAGGCTCTAGGCTTGACTCTTGCCTCTGTCTCTTCCTATTTGTATGACTGTGGCCAAGCCACTTAGCCATTTGGGGCCTCTTCTGTTTCTCTATCTCTATAAAATGAGGAGAGAGGAGGAGAGTAATAGAAGACTAGCAATAGAGAGGACCTTAGAGGTTATCTAACCCAACTCTCCTATTGTACATATGGGAAAACTAAGGCCCAGAGAGAGGAAGTCACTTGGCTAAGGTTACAGAAGAAGGTAAGGGCATGAACTCTAAGGTCCTTTCCCATCTCTGAATTCCTTTTGACCCAACCAAGGGTCCTTGAACAGGTCACTCTTGGTTCTTCACCTATAAAATAAGATACTAATATTGTACTACCTATGTTCAAGAGTTGTGATGCTTTAAGGTTTACAAGGTATTATAAAATATTACATCATTGGGGCAGCTAGATGGTGCAGTGGATAGAGCACTGGCCCTGTCTTCAGGATGACCTGAGTTCAAATCTGGCCTCAGACACTTGACACTTACTAGCTGTGTGACTCTGGGCAAGTCACTTCACCCCATTGCCTCGCCAAAAAAAAAAGAAAAAATATATCACAACGTTGTATCCTCACAGTAACCCTAGAAGGTAAGTGCTATTACCATCCTCATTTTGCAGATGAAACCTGAGGCTAAATGGCTAAGTGACTTGCCTAGCATCACATAGCTCATTAGTGTCTGAGGTTAGATTTGAATTCAGATCTTCTTGACCCAGGTTCAACACTCTAGCTGCTGGGTCACCTAGCTCTACCCAGCTGCCTCTTGGATGCTAAGGACTTAAAGGGATACCAAAAGCCTCAGTTTAGTTTCGGGCTATTAAAGATTAAGGGGTTTCAGGGATTAAAGTTACTAAAGTTTAAAGCTGCACTAAGAATTTTGCGATGCTCTATAGAATGTCAGTGAAGGTTTTGATAGTGATGGTCATTTTGCTCAGTTGCTCATGTATTATATTTATTATTATTATACATCTATACTTGCAAACACAGGGAACAGCAGGGTGATGACTGGTGACCTGTCAATGCCCCAACCCTGGTGAGCAGCATCCTGTCTCCACCTACCAGGTAGCCCAGCTCCCTCAAATGCCTTGGGGAGATGTACCTATGCCTGAGAGTCAAGAGTCTTTCAAGATGGACTCATGAAACCCTTGGTTGTTCTTTTTCTTTTTTAAAAATATGTATTGATCTCTCTTGTCTTTACATCCCCTTTGTTTCCCAAAATATCCCTTCCCAATCTTCCACCTAGAGAACAACCCTTTATAAGATAGAGGGGGGAAAATGGAGTTTTTCCAGAGTTCAACCAAAACTAAACCAGCTCAATTGAGCATGACAGTTTATACCTCATTCCAGGTCCTTAGTTCTCCATGTCTTCAAAGAAGGGAGGGAAGTACATTCATGTAGTGTGGACCAAATTTGGGCATCATAAATACTCAGTGTTCACTTTCTGCTTCCATTGTTGTAGTCATGATGTACATCTTTTCTCTTTTCCTGCTTACTTCCCTTGGAATAAGTTCCTCTAAGTCTTCCTAGGTTTCAAATCTGAGAAAATTCTATAACCCAAGCAGCCATTTGGCCTAAGGAAATGCCCCACCAGGCCAGATGGGAAAAGTCAGGAGAGTCTGACTCCTAAGGGAGTCCTAAGGGAACAGAACCACTAATGCCTCAATTATTACCTTTTTGTTCTTTGTCCTTGTAGCTGGTGAGAGACTGCTCAGGAGAAATTTCCTCTGAGCAACGTCCCCCGGTGGTTCTAGTCTCTTGTGACCTGTCTGCACAGGTAAGTCTTTACAACTGGATGCTTTGGATAGAAAGGAAGAGTGTGGTCCTGACCTTGACCTTTCCACCTTGCCCCTTTTCCCAAGGAACTTTTTTCCCCTGAGGTCAGGAAGGAGTCTGGGGGAAGAGTGTGCAGCTCTAACTTCCCAGGATATGTTCCCATTACTCCCTGAAATCCTACCATGCCCAAAAGGGAGCAAGTTTCTCTTGCTTGGCCCCAGGGGTCAGAAACAATGGGTTGAAGATTCCAAGAATCAACCTAACAGGCGCCAGGAAAAGTGAGGGGGGCAAAGTCAGGTAGCCCACAAAATCAGAAGAGGCTGCTTCAGGAAGCAGTGAGCTCCCCATCATTGGAGCTGTAGGGGTCTTCTTTGGGCCCTTCCAACACTGGGTTTCTGTCTAATGAATTTTCACTACAGCAAAAAAAAAAAAAAAAGGGGTGGGTGGAATAATCTGCCAATGGTGAGCAGAAGACAACAGATACTATTAATTGTTTGCCTGTCCTGCCAGCCCTTAATTAAGGCAGGCCTTTCCCCTCAAGAGAAGTTGAGACCAAAAAAGACAGGTAAGTCAACAAAAAGCCCCACCCTCTAACTCATCCTCCCTTTTATTGCTCTGGGAATTCCCATCTATTGTCATGTGATCAGGTCCCTTTCTGGGGAGGAAAGAAAGCCATCTTGGACCTTCTTGACATATAATAGGTGCTGAAATTCATTGTTCAGTTGAAGTTACTGAAGGCTTCTACTCATCCTTAAGTGACCATAGGGCTTCTTCCTGACAACTGGAGCCTCTCTCCTCCCCTCTTCTTCATGTTCTGCCTCAGGTCTTGGCTATGGGCTGCCATGCTGAGATTTCATTTGAAGGACTTGGAGACATACCCAATCTACTCTTTCTGGGTTATTTTCTTTTCTTTTTTTTTTTGGCAATTAGGGTTAAGTGACTTGCCCAGGGTCACACAGGTAGTAAGTGTCAAGTGTTTGGTCTGAGGCCAAATTTGAACTCAGGTCCTCCTGACTCCAGGGCTGGTGCTTTATCCACTGTGCCACCTAGCTGCCCTTTTCTGGGTCATTTTCACTACTTCCTTGGACCCCTCCCTTGAGACCAAGCCCCACATTCTCACTCCTTCCCCTAGCCCTATCATTCATTCAACAAGCATTTCAAAGCATATTAAAACCCTACTCTCAGAAAAGAGTCTGTGATCAGTCTGGACCAGTCTTCAATCTGCTCACTGTAGCTTTTGGTTTCCTTTCCTTGTCATTGGCATTGCTAACCTGAGCTCCTGATGGAGAGTGAAGAATGTGCCCCCTGAAAGGATCCTAAGACCTCTAAGAGCAGGAGGGATTTTTAAGGGGGGGTATTTTGGGGGAAAGTCTTCCCGAAATTATACCTTCTCAGTCTAGGCAACTTATTTGTTCTGCCTATGAGTAAGGAGAGCCCTGGACATTCAGGATAGCAGGCCTAGCCCAAGCCACACACTGACACTCCTCATGAATTCCAGCAGGGTCTCCAAGACATCCTAATAGTCCTACACACCTGTAGGGAGGTCTTCTGCCTTCATGAAGACATAACCACTGTTTGTGTACTTCTTTCTCCCACAGGAGCCTCAAGCCCAGGGAGTGTCAGATGCTGATCCATCACCAGTCCATGGCCGTCGTGGCGGAAGAGGAAGGCGAGGAAGGGGAGGAAGGCGAGGAAGAGGAGGAAGGCGAGGAAGAGGAGGAAGGAGAGGAAGGGGAGGAAGGCGAGGAAGGGGAGGAAGGCGAGGAAGGAGAGGAAGACGTGATTTAGAGAGGGAACCATCAGATATCTTTCCAGAAAAACAAAGGGGGCCTCCTTTTGAAGATCCTTTTAGACCCTTCCCCAGGCCTCGACCTGGACCCTTCCCTGGGCCCTTCCCCAGGCCTCGACCCGGACCCTTCCCTGGGCCCTTCCCCAGGCCTCGACCTGGACCCTTCCCTGGGCCCTTCCCCAGGCCTCGACCCGGACCCTTCCCTGGGCCCTTCCCTGGCCCTCCGCTTGACCCCAATCAGCCTGGCCCCAATCTACCTGACTATGACCTTGACTTCCCTTGACCCCAGCCTGGGCCTGATTTCCCTGGGCCTGCTTTTAGCCTAAGCTCATCTTTGGCTAAGCTCTCACTTTAGATTCCTTTCTCATGCCCAGAATTCTTTCCTTAGCCCAGGCTCACTAAACCCAATTCTTCAATGAGTTCCAAGATTTGAACCCACAGATCCAGTAAGAGCAGAAAATGTACAAATAGGGACCAAATGAAGATGTCCAAGAATCCAAAGAAGAGACTAGACTGTGGACTGTCAAAGGGCAGGGACTGTTAGACCTTCAATGCAGCATTCCAAACAGACAACAATCAAATAAAGGCTTTGTGATAGCAATAATCATTCCAACAACCTCTTACCTTCTGGTCTTCTTGTCTCCTATTTCCTCCTGATTCCAATCTATCCTGACTGTACAGACAAATCAATTTTCCTAAAGTGACACAGGAAGGAAAGGAGGGAGGGAGAGAGGGAAGGAATAAGTATTTATATCATACTACTGTGCTAAGCACTTTACAAATATTAGCTCATTTGATCCGTACAACAGCCCTAGGAGGTAGGTGCTGTTATTATCCCCATTTTACAACTGAGGAAACTGAAGCAAACAGAGGTTAAGTAACTTGTCTGGGGTTATATGGCTAGTTAAGTGTCTGAGACTGGATTTAAACTCAAGCTTCCTGACTGCTACACCAAAGAAGAAATGGGATTGGACTTGAAATCAAAAGATCTGGATTCTAATTCTAACTCTGCCCTTGTGTAATCTTAGGCAAGTCAATTAACCTTTGAGGGCCTTAGTTTTCTAAAGCCTAAGTTAAAAAACAAAACAAAACAGAAAGTTTATCTCTAAATTCTCTTCCAGATGTAAAACCTAGAAACACACAGATCTGATCCTATCCCTCCCCTGCTCAAACATCTCTATTGACTAGGCTATGTAAAAATGCAAAGCCTTCATCCTGGATTGAAGACCCTCTTCACTTTACCTCTCATTATACTCTTCCATGTTTATATATATATTATCTCCCTGAATGGAATGTAAGCTCCTTGAGGGCAGAGACTATTTAATGTTTTGTCTTGCTCTCCCTAATACCTAGTGTAGTACCTGGCATGCAGTAGACACTTAAAAGGAGGATGGAGGATGGATGGGAGAGTCAGGAAGGCCAGTTCGAAGGTTATTCCAGTAGTCCTGGCTAGAACACATGACTTCAGAGAAAGAAATAGGTATGAGAGATGCAAGCAACAAGAGGTGGCAACTGACTGGATATCTAGGAGAAGGCAGAGGAAGAAGTTGAGGGTGACTAGAAGGAGGGTGATACTCTTAACAGAAATAGGGAAACTTAGAAGAGGGGTACATTTGGAGAAAAAGTGTATTCTATTTTGGACATGTGGAGTTTGAGATGCTTAGAGTTCAAAATGCGCAATAAGTAGTTGGTGATGCTCTCCTGGCTTCTCAGGAGAAGGACTAAAGGTAAATAGTTACATCTGGGAGGCATCTGCAAAGATGATAATTAAACCCAAAGGAGCTGATGAGTGAGAGAAAAGAGAAGAGAGCCCGAGACATAGCCTTGGTGGACATCCATAGTTAGAGGGCAGGATATATGATGATCCAGCTAAGACAGAGCAGTTAGGTAGGTAGGAGGAAAACCCAGAGAGAGGCATGTCATGAAAATAAAGAAAGGAGAAAGTATTCAAGAGGAGGGTTGTCACAATGTCAAATTCTACAAAGAAATCAAGAAGGAGGAGAATTGAGAAAAGAATACTAGGGAAGCAGTGTGCTGAATTGGAAAGAACGATGACTCTGTATACCTTGACCAAGTCACTTAACTGCCCAGGACCTTGGTTTTCCCATAGGTCAAATAATGGAGTTGGACTAGGGGGTCTCTAAGGTCTTCCAGCCTTAGATCTATGACCCTGTGGTCATTGGTCATCTGATACATAGGGAATTGATAGAAATATTTAAGACCAGGAATCATTCCCCAGTACATTAAGTAATCAAAGTATATGAAGAAACAGCTCTCAAAAGAAGAATACAACTATTAATGGACATACAAAAGATTGCTTGTCTGAGGCTGGATTTGAACTCAGGTCTTCCTGACTCCAGGGCCAGAACTCCACCTAGCTGCCCCTTTTCTTTCTTTCTTTCTTTCTTTCTTTCTTTCTTTCTTTCTTTCTTTCCCATGTTTGCTAACTCTCATTTCCTCTACTCTACATAAAAAAGGAAAAGCATAATTCTTCTAACATATAAACATCTTCAAGCAAAATAAATACACACATCTGTCATGTCCAAAAATGTATCTCATTCTGCATCTTGTGTCTATCCTCTCCACTCTCCTAGGTCAGGGAGTGCACAATGTGCTTCATTTTTATCTTCTAGAGTTATGGTAGGTCACTACATTGATCAAAGTTATTAAGTTTTTCAAAGTTCTTTTTTTCTTTAAAATGTTCTTATATAAATTGTTCTCTTAGTTTCACCCTCTTCATTATGCGTTAGTTCATATAAGTCTGCCCAGGTTTCTCTGAAACTACTCTTTCCATTATTTCTTATGGTGTAAGAATATTCCATTACATTCATATATCACAATGGTTGTAATGGAATGCTATGGTATATGTGCTATGGTACATGTATATGGTATGGTACAGTAAATATGACTTATATATAGAATCAGCCCCTTTCTGCTCACATACCGTAATCTGTTCAGCCATTCCCCAACTCATGAAATACCCTTTGTTTTTAGTTTTTAGTTCTTAGCTACAACAAAAAGATCTACTATAAATATTTTGGTATATTTGGCCCTTTTCCCTCTTTCTTTGATCTCCCTGGGGTATAATCCTAGAAGTGGTATCACTGGGTCAAGGGATTGTTGTTCAGTCATTTTTCAGTCGTGTCCAACACTTTGTGACCCCATTTGGGGTTTTCTTGGCAAAGATACTGTAGTGGTTTGCCATTTCCTTCACCAACTCATTTACTGATGAGGAACTGAGGCAAACATGGTTAAGGGGCTTGCCAAAGGTAACATTTGAACTCAAAAAGATGAGTCTTCCTAACTCCAGGATCAGCACTTTATCCATTGTGGCATCTAGCTGCCTGGGTCAAAGGATATGCACTGTTTAATGACTTTTGAGGCATAGTTCCAAATTGCCCTCCAGAATGAATGTCTGGACCACACCACAGCTCCACCTATAATACACTAACGTGCCTATCTTCCCACAGCCCCTCCAACATTTGTCAGAAAATTTCAAGCTCTCAAGATGTCCCTCCAAAAAAGAGATAAAATAACACCTCAGGGCAAACACAGAGCAGTGAAAATAAATAAGAGCAGGGGCAGAACAGTGGTCCTTCTGGGACAATGGGAGAAGATCTGAAGAAAAATACCAGGACCAGATTTCATCTCTGTGAAAAGTAAACACCACCAGGCTAGGGACCACTTAAACAAGTGGCAAGCCCTCGGATTAGCTGGGTTGCGAGAATGCCTCAACCCCAGCCACGGGAACTTCTGCCCCTGGGACTGTGAAGGGAGTTGGGCATCTGAGCCAGAGAAGATCAAGGAAACCTCTGCTGACAAGGAATGCCAGACCCAGCTGTGCTGTCAAGACTCAGTCCTGAGCACGAAGGAACCAGCACACGCTTGGTGAGTGCAGATGCAACGGGGCAGGGACGCCACTGGATGCGGGCATTTCCAGAAGGCTGGAGGTCGTGGTTTGTGTTCAAGGTCACAGGGGAAAACTGAAGGAGGATCTGAGGCCAGAGGCACCATCCCCTAACCCCCAGTACTAGAGGTGATTACAAAAACTAAACTATTATCACCCCCGCCAAAAAAAATACACAGGCAAAGGAGAAAGAATCCAACCATAGAGAGTTACTATGGGAATAAAGAAGACCACGGTTCGTCTTCAGAGGAGGATACTGAAGCAGAGAAACCCTCTTCTACCCCAAAGAGTGATATCAAAGAATTTACAGAAGAACTTAAAAAAGACTTTAAAAATCAAGCAAGAGAGATCGAGGAAAAAATTTTAAAATATAAGAACAATCCAAGAAAAACAAGATTATGAAAAGAAAGGCAACCAGTTAGAAAAGGAGATCCAGAAGCTTTTTTTTTTTTTAAATTTCTAAGCAATTGGGATTAAGTGACTTGCCCAGGGTGACAGCTAGTGTCAGGTGTTTGGTCTGAGGCCGGATTTGAACTCAGGTCCTCCTGACTTCAGGGCCTGTGCTCTATCCACTGTACCTCCCAGCTTCCCTGATCCAGGAGCTTAAGGAAGAAAATGACTCCTTGAAAATCAGAATTGGGCAAGGGGAAGTCAGTAAAGTTATAAGAGATCAAGAAATAATAAGACAAAATAGAAAGAATGAAAAAATAGAAGTGAAAGTATAACACCTCATAAGAAAAACAACTGATCTGGAGAATAAATCAAGAAGAGAAAACATAAGAATAATCTAACTACCTGATAGCTATGATCAAAAAAAGAATCTTGGTACAATAATACAAGAAATAATTAAAGAAAATTGTCCTGAAGCATTAGAACAAGAAGGGAAAGTAGAAATAGAAAAAAATCCATCAAACACCACCTGAAAAAGATCCTTCGGGGAAAACCCACAGGAATATTATAGTCAGATTCCTAAACCCTCAGCTCAAGGATGAAATATTACAAGCAACATGAAAAAAAATTTACATATGGCAGTTTCACAATTAGAAACACAAAACCTAGCAGTGATGACACTAAAAGACCACCGGTCTCGGAACACTATATATCAAAGAGCAAAAGAATTGGGTTTCTGACCAAAAATATCGTATCCAGCAAAGCTAAGCATAATTCTGAATGAAAAAAAAAGGACAATTAATGAATTATCAGACTTTCAGGACTTTGTTTTAAAAAAAAAAAACAAAACCCTGAACTTAATAGAAGATTTGACATTCAAGAGCCAAGAGAAACATAAGGTACATACCAAAGACCAATTACAAGGGACTCAATAAGGACAGACTGTCTCTACCTTTTATGTATGTAAAATGCAAAATGTATGTCGA